GATCCAAGACAATCAAGTAAGATCTAACTCGGCTTGTTCAGCCACATTAAGGACCAATGTTGCTAGGACTGAATCTTCTAGGAAGAACATCGTCATGTGGACTAGACCAGATTCATCCATTGTTTCATATCTCCTTAATTTTTTGTCAGAGCTGATAGAAGAATAAAAAAATATTTAGCGTAAACTACAAATCTAAAATGAGTGTAAGGAACTATCAAAGATTGCATATGCAATCAGTTTCCCCATAACTTTATTTGATTTATTTGTGAATCCTTTTACGTGTGCTCAGTACTCATTTTGCTATGCAAAATTTAACCAGCTAATTAATATAAGTTATTTCTACAAATACATTGAAGAATTTATTATTATTCCTTATTGAGGAACAAGGGATTTATTATTATCATTAGACATCAGTAGACATTAAGTATTTTTATGGTTGCACTCAAAAACATGTGGAAGCACAATTCAATAAACAGATATAACATGAGACATATCTAATTTCCAAAAAAGGAATAAAAAGTATAGAATCTATAATAAAACTCCAGTTTCTATGTCTTTATTGTAAATTACTATATGGAGCATTTTATTAAGCAGAGCTCATGCTAAGGCAATAATGACTATTAACTAACAACACAAAATGAAATAGGATTATGAGCTTAGAAAAAAGTTGTCATAAAATCCTTCTTGTTTTGCATGTAAAATTAAAATTTTATTGGAGGGTCGGATCCGAAAAATCAAGCAGATCCACTGTACTACCGAGATTTGACCTGGAAAAACTACAGTTTACATTAAAGGGTCTAGATCTTCAATCAGTAGATCATGAGAACACTATATAGAACATAACTCATATAGAAATTTGAGTTATGAAAATATTATCCACTTAAAATTCGAAAGATTTATAGATTTTGAGGAAGGTCATCCTAGGTAGTATTGTTATCACAGAATTATGTTTTCTTTCGTTCTTACACTTTTTGTTTGTTATTCCTAATCGATCGCCCCAAATTATAAGCTTAGGATTACATTCAGTTAGCTCTTTGTTTTATCCTTGAACCAGAGTTGAACATGAATCCTTGGAGATAATCTATCATGTTAACATACTCCCCCATTATTCTAGATAATTTCCATAGTCCATGATGTTTAATGTACATAATCTGATTCCTTGGATTTGCTGAAAGCTACAAACATCAGGGTTAAAGCTGGTCATAGAACTTCTTCGCTTCAATCATAGAACTTGACAAGATCAAGTTCACAAGATTTGGTTGTCCTCCAAACATGCATAGCATAAAGCAAGGAATACCTACTTTAATCAAAGGCGAAGAACAAAAAATTTGATTACAGTTGTTGCTTAACACCTAAGTAGCACGGACACGGACACGGACAGGAGACACGGCAAATTTGTAAAATATAGGATACGGGGACATGGCTATGTATGTGTGTGTGTGTAAAATTCACATTAGATCAAGCACTGTATTAAAATACATATAATATTTGTATGTTTCTTTCTATTATCTATAACAATTAAGAACCAATTTAAATAAAACTAAGAATAAGGTTTAACAATAAAAGTTTAGTTTTGATCGTATGGGATAATACAACAGGTATTTTTTGTAGGCTCCTGAACAGGATCGGCCAACAATACAAGACCTGAAAGCTTTATAAAACCTGTAAACAATGTATGCAAACAAATAGAACCTGACAGATTTCTTTGAGACCGAACAGAAGCAGCAAGACAGAGAACTCAGGCTCTGTTTTGGTTGATGAACACAGGCCGGAATAGAGGAGCAGGAATTTTTCTGAAGTTTATTCACGTTCTCTTTCATGAAGAGTATTACATGTATATATAGATAAGATTACAACTCCAATTCTTATCCAATAACTAGAAAACTATCTACTAACTAGTATTCTATTCTAACTAGAATTCTATCTATTAACTAGGATTGATTAACAAACTTACATTCTCCCCCTTAATCTGGACTAGACTCTAAGTCCCTTACTCCTAGCAGCTCCCGCATCTCGATGAACTTCACCCTTGCTAGTGCCTTCGTGAAAATATCTGCTCGCTGCTCGCTCGTGCTTACGAACTCCACTTTAATCTGTCCTCGCTCAACACACTCACGAATGAAGTGAAATCGTGTGTCAATATGCTTGCTTCTTCCATGGAAAACTGGATTCTTCATCAAGGCAATTGCAGACTTGTTGTCGACGAAGAGTGTAACCGGCTTGGGCTCACTCCCAATCACCTCGTTGATTAAACTCCTCAACCACAAGCCTTGGCATGCTGCTGCAGTTGCCGCTATAAATTCTGCCTCGCAGGATGATAATGTCACCGTCTTCTGCTTCTGTGATGTCCAAGTGACCAAGCTGTCACCTAGAAAAAATGCCATGCCGCCTGTGCTTCGCCTGTCATCAACATCTCCCGCAAGATCACTGTCAGTGAATCCCACCAACTCTTCATTGCCTCGACCTCGTTTGTACACCAATCCGTAGGATATAGTACCCTTCACGTACCTCAAAATATGCTTGACAACCTGTCGATGCAAAACTGTAGGGTGCTCCATGTACCTACTCACAATCCCCACGGTATATGTGATATCGGGTCGGGTGTGAGTTAGATACCTCAAACATCCGATGATGCGTCTATACTCTGTCACGTCCACCGGTGTTCCTTCAGAATCCTTTCCAAGCTTTAGCTTTGCTTCCATGGGATATTGAGTCGGGTTGCAATCCATCATGCCGAACTGACCCAAAACTTTCTTCGCATAGGCCGCCTGCCTTAGTGTAATGCAATCATCTCGCTGATCCACCTCAATACCAAGATAATAGGAAAGCAATCCAAGGTCACTCATCTCGAACTCCTTCATCATTTGTTGCTTAAAAAACTTCATCTCATCCGCTCACGAGCCCGCAACGATCAAGTCATCCACGTACACGCCAACAATGAGTGTATCCCCTCTGTTACTCCTGGTGTATACTGCCTGCTCCTGTGTATATCTTGCAAATCAGATGCCCTTCATGCACTTATCGAGGCGTGTGTTCCATGCTCGAGGTGCTTGGCGTAGACCGTAGAGTGCCTTTGAAAGCTTGTAGACCTTGTGCTCTTGATTCTTCACAACGAACCCTTCAGGTTGACGTACATACACTTCTTCTTGGAGATCAACCACATAAACTTCTTCCTGGAGATCACCATTTAGAAATGCCGACTTCACATCCAGATGGTGCACCTCCCACCCGTTCTGTGCTGATATGGCGAGGATTATTCTGATGGTATCGAGTCTCGCCACAGGTGCAAACACCTCATCGAAGTCCACGCCTTGCTGCTGGACGTACCCTTTTGCTACAAGTCTTGCCTTGTGCTCGAGAACGTTGTCTTCATTGACCTTCTTGAGCTTGTACACCCATTTGAGACCAATGGGTTTGGAACCCCGCGGTAACTCCGTGAGTACCCAAGTCTTGTTCTTCTCGATGGCCTTCATTTCCTTCTCCATGGCAGTCCGCCATTCTTGATCTGTTGCAGCCTCAATGTAGTTCGCAGGTTCTTCAGAAATCAGAAACAGTTCTTCTGCAGGGAGATCAATCACCTCCGTCTCTGCATAGATGTCCGCTAGGGATCGATCGCGTACAGGAGTCATCACTGCAGCTTCAGGAGGTCCGGACAGCTCCAATGCAGCGGGATCTGCTGCCACAGCAGCTGTTCCAGGCTGTCCAGTTTGGACGGGTGGAAATGCGCCGGCTGTTGTACCGGCTGCTGCAGTTTCACCTTCCACTGTTAACTCCATCCAACTAGGTGCTTTCTCGTCTTCGTTTATGCTCCAATCCCATTCTTTTCCTTCCTCGAACGCGACGTCTCTGCTGACATGAATTCTGCCGTGTTGAGGGTTGTAAAGGCATTGCGCTTTGCTTCCTTCTTCTACCCCAATATACACCATTGGCGTGCTCCGGTCGTCGAGTTTCTTGTGAGAAGGACCTGCAATCTTCACATGCGCCACACATCCGAAAACTCTCAAGTGTTCTAGGTGGGGTTTCTTACCAAACCAAGCTTCGTAGGGTGTGTGATCGTACAACGCCTTGGTTGGTAATCGGTTGAGGATGTACACCGCGTGCCTAACCGCTTCGCCCCATATGGTTTCAGGCATATGCGTGCTCTTAAGTAGGCTTCTCGCCATGTCCATCACCGTGCGGTTACGCCTCTCCACTACACCGTTTTGCTGCGGGGTGTACGGTGCAGTGAGATGACGCTTGATGCCGTAGTCTTCACACAACTTTGTAAACTCCTTTGACAAGAATTCGCCACCACGATCCGTCCTCAATGTCTTCACCTTGTGGTCACATGCGTTCTCAACCTCTGTTTTGAACTTCTTGAAGGTTTCACAAGCTTAACTCTTGGCCTTCAACATGTATACCCACATCCATCGGCTGAAATCATCAATGATAAAAAGAAAGTAGTTGTTCCCAGCAAGTGTAGATGGGGTGATAGGACCACATAGGTCAGCATGTAGTAACTCCAGCGGCTTCTGAGCTCTGAAATTTGCTTGTGAAGGGAACGACAATCTTGCTTGCTTGGCGACGAGGCATCATTCGCATAGTTGATTCGGGTGCAAGATCTTCGGCAACCTGGAAGCCATCCTCTTATCAGTCATCATCTTGAGGGCGAAGAAATTAACATGCCCAAGGCGAGCATGCCATAACCAAGCTGGATCGTTAATGTTCGCCATCAAACACGCCGGCTTGCAAGTCTTTAACTCTATCCTGTACAATCGGTTAGATGAACGTTTCACCCTCATCAAGAGAGCATCGTTCCTATCAAACACCCTCAGGAACTCATCAGCAATAACAACCTTACTCCCATCTTCCGTCATCTGACCAAGACTAATAATGTTAGATTTCAAGCTCGGGATATAATATACCTCGGGTAGTAGCCTTTGATCGCCATTGTTGCACTGAAAGAGGATAGAGCCTTTCCCCTTGATCTCTACCGCTGATCCATCACCAAACTTGACGGTTCATGTAATGTTCTCGTCAAGCTCCTTGAACTTGCCTCGGTAGCCGGTCATGTGATTGCTAGCTCCGTTGTCAAGGTACCAAACGTCGTTGGCAACTTGTTCCTCCCCCGCTGTGAGTAAGTTTGGCACCACCTTCTCCTCATTGAGTAGAATGACAGTTGATGATTCCTCTAAAACAGTCATCATCAAGGTTGGCTCCTCGTCATATGCACGGGTGAGATGAGCCTCCTGTTCATGATTGCGGCGTTGCTTGTGACACTCCGACTGAAAGTGCCCGTATACTCCGCAATTGAAGCATTTGATGTTGGATTTGTCTCGACCACCGCTTGTGCTACTCTCCCCCTCCTGGCGAGCTGCACCTCCATGGTCGAAACCACCTCCTGGACGTCCTCCTCTGCCGCCGAAGCCGCCTCGGCCTGCCTGGCCGCCGTGCTCCCCTCCGCGGCCTGCTTGGGCAGCGTGGTGCTGCTGCCCGCTGCCGTGGTACTGCTGTCCGCCTCGGCCTCTTTGGCCACGGCCACGCCCACGACCGGCCCCGCGACCTCGACCTCGTCCGCTACCATCATTTGTTGTATGTGTTGAGAGGAAGCCTCCGCCGTTCTTCTTGCCCCTTGCTTGCCACTCCGCATGCGTCAACAATAGGTGATCGTCGACGTTGTTTCGAAAAACACGTGCCCTCTCCTCGTGGGCTTTGAGACGCCCGATCGCCTCCTCGAGTGTCATGCCATCGATGTCCCCGAACTGTTCAATCGTGGAGACGATAGTAAGAAATCTCTCCGGTACCGCCCGAAGTAGCTTTCTGACGACGTAGTTCTCCTCCATCTCGCCGCCTAAAGCCCGGATCTTGTTGATGACTCCTGTCAACTTCGTCGAAAAATCGTCGACCTTATCATTCTCCTTCATCCGGAGAAGTTCGAACTCGGACTTCAAGGTCTGCACCTTCGCGTTCCTCACACGATCCGCTCCTAGATGCATTGTTTTCAACGTCTCCCATGCCTCTTTTGCCTTCTGCTTCTCTGCAATCACCATCAAAGTCTCTTCAGGAATCCCCTGGTAGATGGCCGCCAACGCCATCTGATCCTTCCTGTGTTCCACGGACGCGCCTGCCGCGGGCTCAATGGCGTCCCACACGTCTTGAGCCTTCATGTAGACTTTCATCTTGATTGCCCACGAAGCATAGTTATCCCTCGATAGCGTCGGGTATTGAAGAGTGAGAGAACCCACCTTGGTCGTCATCTTCTCCGAGCTCGTCATCTCTTCGGATCTTGGTTGAATCTTAGGCATACACGGCTCTGATACCACTTGTAGGCTCCTGAACAGGATCGGCCAACAATACAAGACCTGAAAGCTTTATAAAACCTGTAAACAATGTATGCAAACAAATAGAACCTGGCAGATTTCTTTGAGACCGAACAGAAGCAGCAAGACAGAGAACTCAGGCTCTGTTTTGGTTGATGAACACAGACCGGAATAGAGGAGCAGGAATTTTTCTGAAGTTTATTCACGTTCTCTTTCATGAAGAGTATTACATGTATATATAGATAAGATTACAACTCCAATTCTTATCCAATAACTAGAAAACTATCTACTAACTAGTATTCTATTCTAACTAGAATTCTATCTATTAACTAGGACTGATTAACAAACTTACATTTTTCAAATATTTAAGAAAGTGGTGACAGTTTTCCAGTTTCAAAAACTGATTCGTTTTGAACCTGAGATTATCAAAGAAGCTAGTTTAGAGTATAAGTAATGGGGAAACCGGGTTTTGCTTTGAACCACATGTGTCGACGGCATGTCCATAGAGAATTCATGTCCAACACGTGTCAGACACCAATACAGCGCCTAAAACGTCGTATTCAAAAAACCTAGCTTAACACCCAACCTGAATTTAGAATCCTCCTTCAAGAAATGCTATAAACCTCTACTTTACCGATCAAAGAAAATCCCCGTTTCCTAACTCAGAACCTTTACGTTATTCAAGTCCTCAAGGATTTGAATCAAACCCCTTCGTTGCTAATTCCATAATCTGGCAACTAAGGAGATAGATCACAACTTGATTTTTTTTTTTTTAAATCCAAACATTACCCCACAAAAGAGTGAATGAAAACGTTGGAGAGATTGAAGGAAGTACCAATTGCGAGGCAAGACTGAGGAAGGATTTGGTGATGGGCAAGATGCAAAACCTGATATAAATCACTGTAGAATATCAAACATCAAATTAAGGGGAAAAGATTCGATCTTTAGAGCAGAAAACACCGAGAGAAGGGATGCTCACGTTCCTCTGCCACCCGCTAAAGCTTCTTCTGATGGGTCCTTCCACTCATCAAAACTGTACAAAAATTCATAGAGATTACTGCAGAATTGTAGAGAGAGAGAGAGAGAGAGAGAGAGAGAGAGGAAGTACTACAGCCCAGTCCGTAAACGGCCGTGGTCGAACAACAGGCGTTTCGGTGCCGCTCGTCCGATCGCGGCCGAGCTCCCATGCTCTGAGCTGCAGATTTTTTTTGAGCTCCGCAGCTGCTAATGGACAGGGAGGGGTCTGATGGGCCGGATCTTATGGGTGTCCAAACCCTGACCCTGGTGCTATGAAGCTGTCACGTTTTTTAACTTTAATAATTAATTTCTCAAACTTATTTTCCTTTGTTGTTCCAAAAAAATATCAAATTAAAGTATAGATTATCTAATTTTAAAATGAGAAGCGTAAACGATGAGCATTAAATTTTCAAAAGGTGACAACTTTAATTTCTGAGTTATAACAGTTATATGTTTTTATCTAATTTCTATTAACTGTTTCAAACTAAATTTCGTGCTAATTATTGTCTAAACAGCTAATTTTCCCAATAGAAATATGATGGGGTGTACGTTAAAAGAAACATGTGTGAGTCAGAATATGTTACCGTACCAAAATATGTTACACTACCACAGAAAATGAAATAATAATAATAATAATAATAATAATAATAATAATAAAGCGTTAAATTAACACTAAGATTGTATTGTAGTTTTGTCAGCTCAGAATCTAGTTGTAGCGTTTTATTGAAAGACTAACTGGAACCTCGTCAAAAACTGAACCCACTAATACCACTAATCATTGATAAGAGTTTAAGTCCCAAAGAAAAACATATGCATATTCCAAAGAGATGGTCTAACATGAAAGGCTAGCTAATGGATATGCACCAGGATGCTCTCTACCTAAAGAAACTGAAGTGAGAATCATAAACCATGATTGATATTTTATACGAATAATCATAGACCTTTTTTGAATATTTTAACAAGAATTACATGCGGTAATTAAGGTTAACTGCTATAATACATATTGTAAATACACTTCTAAAATGATAAATCTAAGAATTCATATAATCTCAATCGAGAAAAGATTTTTTGATTCGACTACGCCTTGAATTTTCCTTGTATGCAAGCATATAAATTCAAGTTCACTAGAAGGAAGCTTATTGATAAGCAAGACCAGAGCCACAAACATTCAATTATGGAACCACTAAAGGAGTGGATAGCTTTTGTGTTTGTTTCTCTCCATTTAGTTTGGGTTGTCTCATTTAATAGTTAGCTTATAACTGAAGCTTTGGCGTATTGGTCATTTGAGGACCAGAAGGCTTTCTTTTAAGGACTGTGTAAGGATTTTTGCTTAAAGGAATAGAAGTTCTTTCCCCCCTAAAGGAGTAGATAGCTTTTTTCATAGTACAGGGGATAAATTATGGAAGCGAAGAAAACTAAGAGCAAAAAGAGTTAAGAGTAAAATTGTCATTTTAATTTGTATTTAACGGATCTTTTAACAGAAAGTTAAAATTAAATTAAGTTTAAATCTAATAAAAAGATAGAAGTACTAAGTTGAGAAAAAAAAAAGTGCATAAACTAATTTGAAAATGAGGTCCCAACAGAGGCTAAATTAGCCTTTTGGCCAAGGAATTATTATGCATGACTAATCAAAAACGCCTAGGTCACGTCAATGTTGACGCTAACCCATCCTTTTCCGTAAAATTTGAAATAAGAATCGGTCTACTGAGGTCACTTTTGACTCCCTTTTTTGCCATTACTTAGACAGTCAATTACAACCAAATTAAGAAATTAATATTAAGGGGTTTTTGTTTTTAGACACATTTGTTTACTCCCTTTCATCTTTAATCTCAAATACTATTACTTGTATCTTTAAGCCCAACTCTCTTTTTGTATTTATCTTTAAACCTAATTTTCAAAGTACAATACTTAACAAACTTGTATTTATACGGAAACAAGGTAAAGTTTCCAAAATACCCTTTTCATTACCATATAAACTCATCTCTCTCTCCTCCATTCCCTAGACCTTTAGCGCTCCAAGCGCCCGACTCTCCCACCTCCGACCGCCAACCACCTTGCTCGCCACCTAAGATCCACCCCCTCTTAGATCGGCCACCGCCCGACAGACCCTACAATCAACCTTTCACTCCTCTCTTCTTCGGCGCGCGACCATCCGATGTTTCACAGCCGACATTGCCCCTTTCCTAGCTGACGCCGCCCCCAACCCAGTTAGCACTCCTGCCTCCTCCTTCTCTCTCCTTCCCATCTCCTGTCACCCATCACCCTTCGCCCCGTTGCCGTCGCCTGACTCCGTCGCTCATCACCCGCGCGTCGCCCGTCGCCTTGGCCGTTGTTCGTCACCCGCACGTCATCCGTCGCCTTGGCCATTATCCGTCACTCGCCGTCGTCACAGTCCTTGGAGGTATGCTCTAAGATTGTGAAATGGAATTATTCTACTTATAGTTCTTTGGATCTTAATGAAGAAATAGAAACTAGATTTGGAGATTGGCGTTTGATCCCAAATCAACTAAATTCCATTTTGCATAGAAACTGGTCCTGGAGATTGGAGTAAACAAATGGGCTTGTGATCAAATTTAGTGAAGTTTAGTGTAGAAATATAAATCATTTGTTTTCTTCACTAAATCTCCAGATCCATCGACTTAATGATTTATCCACTAAATTTTAGTAGGGTAGAGTATCCAAATCCAAAATCATGCTCAAGAAGAATCTAGCAAACTTTCGATTAAGAAGACTACAATTTACACGGTTTAATTGATGTCGAATGCATAAAATTCAACAGGTCGAGCTGATTTACGACTAATTCACACATGAGATAACCAAGAGCATCGTCTAACAATATATATATATATATATCACTATGCATCTATGAACCTAGCTAGGCAAATAAAACATCATCTGGTTTAAAATTGTGTCATGTGGAGTGAATGAAAATAATTTTTATATGCGCTGAAGAGATTTGCTTGTTTGTGAAATGTCTAGCTTCAAGGTGTGTAGAATCATACGACTATGGAATACTTCAACAGCTAAGAATTATTTAACACCCTCAATTATATTTTTTTTCCTCATATCGAAAATAACAACTCAACTCAAAACCTCCATTTTATTTTCAGTCTTTGAAACTTGTTTTAATAAAGGAATTATGTATAATATTGATAGACAACTAAAGTTGCCTTATGTTTTATGGTTGCAGAAAATTCTATCTCATGGCTTTAATGCAAATTCCATCCAACATTAAGTACATCCGTGACCTTCTTCAAAATCAAATTTCTGCTAATTTGTCGGAAGATCAATGAACTTCTCTTCGAGCTACTTTATTTTATGGGTATTTAGATATTCCAGATATTGTGAACATTTGAACTTGCAGTAGCTTGGATTGCGGGGTGTTCTTGATGACACATGTTTAGCCTCGTTTCTGATCAACCAATTTCAATTGCCTAAAATGATTGTGTAAGACATAGAGCACGTATCGTTGCTCTATTTATATCTGAAGGGACATCAACGTGATCCTCAAGACCAATCTCTCAGATGCTAGATGCCAAATATATATTTGTCACTATGAATATATGTTTGGAAATTGAGTTGTAAAGTATTTGTATAAATATATGTTTGTAAGTATGAATATATGATTGGCAGTATGAATACATGTTGGAACTAGCTATGTAAAGTTTGTCAATTGCATTCTTTGGTTAAATTGGTGTTTTGTGACTTCTGTGGTTGATCTGATGATAGATTCTAGTCTATTTTCATCGTATTACGAGCATTTTCAGGTTACACAATACGAGCATTTTCAAGTTATAGCATGAAACTTGTAAGTATAGCACGTTACCAGTAAGTATATCACGTTATAATGTAAGTATAGCACATTAACCTGTAAGTATAGCATATTATAATGTAAGTATAGCACGTTACCTATAAGTATAGCACATTAACCTGTAAGT